GGTTGTCATATGCTTAAATATATGTCTGAGTGTGCGATTTTCAAATGCCTGATTTGAGTTTTAGTTAATTTAAAAGCTTAATTTATTTTTACATATGTATAAAACAATTCAACTAATGTTTATGTAGACTAAACAAATAAAAGTCATATTTGAATAAAAATTTGTTTGGATTTTCTTTTATGAGCATAAATATTAGCATAAATTTTATTATACTACTTGTTCAACAAAATTAATGAAAACAACTTATGAAATTTATCAAAAAAATTTTTAATCTAATTTCATTTAACTTTAATATTTGTATTTTAAAAATAATAATAAATAAAATTTATTATTATTATAATAAAATTATTCAGCTTTATTTTAACAGGCCGACCTGTTAGGCTTTAAAGAATATTTTTAATAGTTATGGCATGATATTTTGAAAAAAAACATGGCCTAACCTGAGCCTATAGGCCATATGCCCCTGTGGTGTATCTTAAGACATTCATGAAGAAGTTATGGGAAGAAAAAATATGTATTTTGTTTCAATATGAATGATTTAATCAACGAAGTTGATAGTTACTTATCATTACTAAATTATTTATCATCTATTAAATTGCGTAATAATTACAATTATAAAAATGAGAGTGATTAATGATGCAATAATACCAATCAAAGAATGTTTAATATTAATAATGAATAATAATAATAATAATAATAATAATAATAATAATAATAATAATAATAATAATAATAATAATAATAATAAATATAATAACGCATATATTATCTATTTTTTAATATTTTAATAATAATATTATATCCAATTATTATGGATTGGTCTATTTATAGCATATTTGAAATAAAAATTTAAAATCTTACATATAAGAAAAATTTATACTTTTAATTCTAAAAATAATTGATTAAAAAGAAAGCACATGTCTTAATAGTAGAAATTATAATAATATATAAAAACTAAAAACATATAATTATCAAATAAATAAAATTATTGTTTATATTGTAAATTTTAATATCCAAAACAAAACAAGAAGAATGAGAGTGTTTAAAAAAATTAATAGACAACATATTGTATCTAATATTAAAAAAGAAAATAAAAAATATTGATCACATCAATGTATTTACATTGCACCATAAATGTCCAAAATAATAATTTAAACAGAATAGGTGTCATGTTCAAAATTATTTGGTGTCATGTTTAAATTTCTAAAGCTTCATAATTGAAAAATATCGAATACAATATAATTTTCACAGTAACTTTTTGCCAAATCAATTTTTTTAATTTGACCGAGACTTAACAAAAAAACATATTCATGCAATATATATTATGAGTACACAATCATAAAAACAATGAAAAAAAGAGAAAATAAATTCAAAAATTGATTATCACAAAATACTATTTTATAAAGTATATTATTTTTTAAAACTTGATACAGTGTCAATTTGACAAGTACATTTTATTAAGTAGAGTCTTGCATAAGTTACCGATTATATCTTTATTTGTGTTGCAACATATTCTTTTTTTAAGCAATTTAGTCATGTATCACATTTCCAGGAACCTGCAGGATAAAAATATACATAAAGGTTAACAACTATATTTCTACAAATACACAAAAATTTGAACATTTTAGATAAAATGAATAACCATTTTATATATATATATATATATATATATATATATATATATATATATATATATATATATATATATATATATATATATATATATATATATATATATATATATATATATATATATATATATATATATATATATATATATATATATATATATATATATATTGGTCGTTCAATGTATTTAAAATGTGAAAAAATATTTTATATTAAGAACAAGAGGGATGATAAATTACAGGTGAAAATAGGATGGAACAAGTTAGACTTTGTCGAGCCTAAGTCCGACTTACTAAAAATAATAAATTTCAAGTCTGACTTGTTGGTTGTCATATGCTTAAATATATGTCTGAGTGTGCGATTTTCAAATGTCTGATTTAAGTTTTAGTTAATTTAAAAGCTTAATTCATTTTTACATACGTATATATACAATTCAATTAATGTTTATGTAGACTAAACAAATAAAAGTCTTATTTGAATAAAAATTTGTTTGCATTTTCTTTTATGAGCTTACATATTAGCATAAATTTTATTATACTACTTGTTCAACAAAAATAATGAAAATAACTTATGAAATTTATCAAAATTTTTTTTTAATTTAATTTCATTTAACTTTAATATTTGTATTTTAAAAATAATAATAAATAAAATTTATTATTATTATAATAAAATTATTCAGCTTTATTTTGACAGGCCGACCAGTTAGACTTTAAAGAATATTTTTAATAGTTATGGCATGATATTTTGAAAAAAAACATGGCCTAACCTGAGCCTATAGGCCATATGCCCCTGTGGTGTATCTTAAAACATTCATGAAGAAGTTATGGGAAGAAAAAATATGTATTTTGTTTCAATATAAATGATTTAATCAAGAAAGTTGATAATTACTTATCATTACTAAATTATTTATGCGTAATAATTACAATTATAAAAATGAGAGTGATTAATGATGCAATAATACCAATCAAAGAATGTTTAATATTAATAATAATAATAATAATAATAATAATAATAATAATAATAATAATAATAATAATAATAATAATAATAATAATAACAACAACAACGCATATATTATCTATTTTTTAATATTTTAATAATAATATTATATCCAATTATTATGGATTGGTCTATTTATAGCATATTTGAAATAAAAATTTAAAATCTTATATATAAGAAAAATTTATACTTTTAATTCAAAAATAATTGATTAAAAAGAAAGCACATGTCTTAATAGTAGAAATTATAATAATATATAAAAACCAAAAACATATAATTATCAAATAAATAAATTTATTGTTTATATTATAACTTTTAATATCCAAAACAAAACAAGAAGAATGAGAGTGTTTAAAAAAATTAATAGACAACATATTGTATCTAATATTATAAAAGAAAATAAAAAATATTGATCACATCAATGTATTTAATTTACATTGCACCATAAATGTCCAAAATAATAATTTAAACAGAATAGGTGTCATGTTCAAAATTATTTGGTGTCATGTTTAAATTTCTAAAGCTTCATAATTGAAACATATCGAATACAATATAATTTTTTCTAATATTTTTGCCAAATCAATTTTTTAATTTGGTCTAGACATAACAAAAAACAGATTCATGCACTAATTATTATGAGTACACAATCATAAAAACAATGAAAAAAAAATTCAAAAATTGATTATCACAAAATAATACTTTATAAAGTTTATTATTTTTTAAAACTTGATACAGTGTCAATTTGACAAGTACGTTTTATTAAGTAGAGTCTTACCTAAGTTACTTATATCTTTATTTGTGTTGCAACACCTTTCTTTTTTTAAGCAATTTAATCATGTACCACATTCCCAGGAACCTGCAAGATAAAAGTATACATAAAGGTTAACAACTATATTTCTTTTCTCTTGTTAAAAAGATGGCTAAAATAAAAGTTATTGAGAATGTGAGAAAATACCACATCTTAGGCTAATAATCATTGCAGAATAATTATTAGCATTTTGTCTCTTTACAATGTTTTACACAGTTATTCCAATCATAAACTAGATGCTTTCCAATACATATTGCATCACACTTTATCTCACAAAAAGACTGTGATAAGCATTCAACTTGTATTAAAACTAGCATAATCATTAACATCATCAGAGCAAAAACTTTCATTAAAGTACTTGCCATTTTTTTTAATATTTTACTTTTCTCAAACTCAAATAATTTTTTTAATTAATTAAAATTTCAGCTCTTGGGTAAGATTCATTGAGAAAAAGTTTAACATTAGACCTTAATATATAGCTCATATTTCTTATACTATTTATTTATTTTTTAAAATACTTTAGGAAATTTTATTTAAAATATATAAAATATCCTTACTTTTTAGAATACACAAAAATTTGAACATTTTAGATAAAGTGAATAACCATTGTATCTAGTTGATATATATATATATATATATATATATATATATATATATATATATATATATATATATATATATATATATATATATATATATATATATATATATATATATATATATATATATATATATATATATATATATATATATATATATATATATATATATATATATTGGTCGTTCAATGTATTTAAAATGTGAAAATTTATTGTATATTAAGAACAAGAGGGATGATAAATTATAGGTGAAAATAGGTTAGAACGAGTTAGACTTTGCCGAGCCTAAGTCGGACTTAATGAAAATAATAAATTTCAAAGCCTGAGTTGTTGCTTGTCATATGCTTAAATATATGTCTGAGTGTGCGATTTTCAAATGCCAGATTTGAGTTTTATTTAATTTAAAAGCTTAATTCATTTTTACATACGTATATAAACAATTCAATTAATATTTATGTAGACTAAACAAATAAAAGACATATTTGAATAAAAATTTGTTTGCATTTTCTTTTATGAGCTTACATATTAGCATAAGTTTTATTAAACTACATGTTCAACAAAATTAATGAAAACAACTTATGAAATTTATCAAAAGATTTTTCTATAATAAAATTATTCAGCTTTATTTTAACAGACCGATCTGTTAGGCTTTAAGGAATATTTTTAAAGGCTTATGGCCTGATATTTTATCTAAATAGGCTTATAAAATGCTAAGACTTTTTCTATTCAGAAAAAAAAAGCATGGCCTAACCTGAGCCTATGAAGCCTAGGTCATATACCCATATATGTATGCCTAATCAATTCTCACCCCGTGGTGCATCTTAAATAATTCATGAAGAAGTTATGGGAAGAAAAAATAAGTATTTTGTTTCAATATGAATCATTTAATCAAGAAAGTTAATAGTTACTTATCATTACTAAATTACTTATCTTCTATTAAGTTGCGTAATAATTACGATTACAAAATGGGTCGTGGGAGAGGGAGAGGGTGGCCACACTTGGTGCCACCGTTAATAACCAATCCAACGGTGACTGATCAGAATACTGCGGATAAGGAAAACTATGGGATTGGTGAAGTGCAAGCTACCAATTTGGAGTGCGATAGCCAGGCGGGAGAGGAAGCAGCGACAACTGATACCAAAACTCTAAATCAAGTGATTACTGAAGAAGCCAAGAAGGAGGTGGAAGTGACCCAACCGAAGAAGCTCTGGGTTGACATTATCAATGAAAATCATAACCCGGCGAAGGGACTCACCATGGAATTTGTTGCACCAAAGATTATTGATGGAGAAGTGGAAATTCAGATTGAAGAAGCGGATGTTGAAGCAGAAGTGAAATTCTGGGAATCTGCTCTCATTTTGTATGCCTTGGGTGTTTACCTAAGCATGAACGCGGTGACACAGTTCATGAGCAGAACCTGGAACTTTGTGACACTACCTGAGATGTTCTATAATGAGGAAGGTTTTTTCATTCTTCGTTTCCACTCATTCCACGACAAGGAATTAGTTCTGATGAAGGGGTCGTACTCAATCCGTAATAGACCTACGTTGCTGCGTGAATGGAAGCCTGATTTTAGTATGAACAAGGATATGCTACGCACAATACCGTTATGGGTGAAGCTTCCCCAACTTTCTCTGCATCTTTGGGGGGAACGAAGCCTTAGTAAAATAGGAAGTGCAATTGGAACTCCTCTAGTGACTAATGAATGTACGACAAATAAACTCAGGGTCTCCTATGCACGAATCCTTGTGGAAATTGATGTTACACAAGAGTTAAAAACAGAAATCCTAATCAGAGATGAAAAGGGAGCGCGAATGAAACAACCGATTGAGTATGAGTGGAAACCTTTATACTGACAATGATGCCATAAAGTGGGGCATAACTGTGACAAGCCTGCAAAACCAACTAAATAATGGAGGGTGAAGGGCCAAGTGCAAGTTCAAGTGCAACCATAGAAGGAGAATGAGAAAGACCAAACTAGTGCAAGTGTTACACCAAGACAAGTCATAACAACTACAGAGGTACAACAGCCGGAGAATGAGGCATGGACGAGGATCACTAGTAGCAGTAAAGGGAAAGGGAAAGGACCAGCCAATAAGGAGGGATCTGTCCAATGCCAAAATGGATTTGGGATGCTGGGGATTTTGAATGGTCCTGCCAGCAATCTTAACTCCCCATGTTAGTTTCATGGAATGTGAGGGGCCTGAATAGGAGGGTTAAGACTAAAGAAGTTAGTGCCCGCCTCCGTTCTCTTAACCCTATGATCTGCATTTTGCTCGAAACCAGAGTGAAGCAGGAAAAAGCTGACAGAATTAGATGTAAATTGAGGAGTACATGTAGTTTTTTGGATAACTATACTAACCATGTGAATGGCAGAATCTGGATCTGGTGGGACAATGCCAAAACTGAAGTTAGGAAAGTTACTAGCTCTCGTCAAATGATTCACTGTGGAGTCTATGATATGAATGGGGTTTTCTAGTTCTAGCTTACAGCTGTGTATGGTGCTAGCAGACTGGACCATCGTACAGTTTTATGGAATGAGATTGAGTATATTCATCAGAATCAGTAGGGGTCGTGGTTTATTATTGGTGACTTTAACAATGTTATTCGCACAGCTGACAAAAAAGGTGGATCCTTGGTGCAATTGAAAGAATACAAAGGCATTAATGATATGATGAACAATTGAAATCTTAGTGAAATGGATACTGTTGGTGATTTCTATACTTGGTCCAACTGGCAGGGTGAAAACATTATACACTCTAGAATTGATCATGGTCTGGCCAACACAGAATGGTTTCAAAAATATACCAATTTGTCTCTTGAGGCTCTTCCACCTGGTATCTCTGACCATGCTTTGTTGCTGCTTTCTAAACCCAATACGGTCATGCATAAAACCTCCCAATTCAAGTTCCTAAATGGTGTGACAGATGTGCAGGGTTATCAGGAGAACATTGCTAGAAGCTGGAATGCCCCTATCCATGGCAGCCCCATGTTTGTGTTGTGGAGGAAACTGCTTAGAACCCAAAGTGTTGTGAAAAATCTCAGCAAGCCATTGGTTGATGCCACCTCGTCTCTCACTTACGCTAGACAGAAGTTGATGGAAGCCCAAGTGCAGCTTAGGGAAAATCTGGATAACCCGGAAGTGATTCAGCTAGTTAAGGATAGATTTGCTGAGGTTGTCTATTGGAGTGAGATTGAGGAACAGGTGCTGAGCCAAAGATCCAAAATTAGCTGGCTTAGACTGGGAGATGGAAACAACAACTACTTTCATGCCTAAGTTAAGAACAGGAAGAATAGTAACAACACTTCTGGTCTGTGTAATATGGCTGGTGACATCCTCAACACCACTGAGGAAATTAAAAATGAGGTGCTATCATTTTATGGTAAACTCATAGGGAGTTCTAATGGTGAATTAGAAGGAATCAACCTTACTGCCATGAGAGATGGCTCTCAAATTACCGGGGAGCAGAGAGCCATGTTGGACTGTCCCATAACTGATGCCGATATTAGTAGGGCTCTCAAAGATATTGGTGACTTGAAAGCTCCTGGTATTGATGGGTTTGGAGCCAAATTTTTCAAAGCATCTTGGAGCACCATTAAGGAGGATACAACTGCTGCTGTTATGGATTTTTTCAACAACTTCAATATGTATCCGGCTGTCAATTGCACTCTTGTCTCTCTAATTCCTAAAGGAAATGGTGGGAATTCTGTGAAGGACCTCAGACCTATATCCTGCTGCACTACTATCTACAAAATCATATCAAAAATATTGACGAATAGATTGAGTTCAGTCTTTACCAGAATTGTCAACCATAGTCAGACGGCTTTCATTCCTGGGCAGAACATCCATGAACATGTTTTGCTAGCTTATGAGCTTATACAAGGCTACATCAGGAAAGGATGTACTCCTAGATGTCTGCTGCAACTTGACATCCAAAAAGCTTATGATACATTGGAGTGGAATGCTCTTGAGTGCATCCTCAAGGAATTGGGTTTCCCTCAAAAGTTCACCAAGTGGGTTATGCTGGCAGTATCTACGGTGTCCTACAAATTTAAGGCCGATGGAAGCATTACGAGATGTATGAAGGCAAAAAGGGGACTTCGGCAAGGGGACCTTATTTCCCCCCTTCTATTTGTCTTAACTATGGAGTATTTACACCGCTTACTCCACCAATTAAGAAAGATTCCAGATTACAATTTTCATGCTAAGTGTGAAAAGTTGTAAATCATCAACATCAATTTTGCTGATGATGTTCTTCTCTTCTCCCGTAGGGATACCCAATCTGTCAAGTTGCTCATGGATAAATTGCATATGTTTTCTCAGGCCACTAGCTTAGTGGTGAATCCGGCAAAGCGCAAGGTGTTTTTTTGGAGGGGTTGATAATGAGACTAAAACGAAGATTTTGGCATCTACTTCTTTTATGGAATGTGAGCTGCCGTTTCGTTACCTGGGGAATCCTTTCACCAGCAAAAGACTGTCAGCTCACCACTACATGAGTTTAGTTGATAGGATTGTTATACGGATTCGACATTGGAGTTCTAAGTTGTTGAGTTATGCTGGTAGAATTCAATTGGTTAATAGTACCATCTCTACTATGGCATCCTACTGGATGTACTGCCTTCCTTTCCCCAATTGCTTGGAAGACGATCTGTAAGCCTCGGAGAAAGGGGGGATTGAATGTGTTGGATCTGTATGAGTGGGACAAAGCCTGTTTAGCTAAATTGCTTTGGAACCTTTGTAATAAGAAGGACTCCTTTTGGGTCAAGTGGATTCATTCCTTTTACTTCAAATCCACTAACCTTATGCAAGTCCAGGAAAAGCAGTGTATGTCATGGATTTTCAAAAACATTCTGAGGTATAGAGACATCGTGACTGACATGCAAGATTGGGAGGATATGAAGGTGAAGTACTCTGTTGGTAAATTCTACCACTACCTCAAAATGGATGAACCTGATGTGGCTTGGAACCACATGTTCTCTACTACTATTGCTAGACCAAGAGCTCTTTTCACTCTTTGGATGACATACCACCGTAGGTTGGCGACAAAGGAGCGACTCAAAAAGTTTAGAATTACTACGGATTGTTAGAACACAGATTGATGTTCAATATATATTTATGTTTTGATGATAACACTAAGGAAATTTTGTATTAAGAAAATATATACTCTAATTTTGTTCAAGTGTTTTTGTTTCAGATATTAAAATAAATATTCTTATGGAAGCAAAAATGCATCTGAACAATAGTCTACGCAAAGCTCTGAAGCATCAGAAGACTCTGAGCGCTGCCAGAAGAGACTCTGAAGCAGAAGCTGCAGAAGACTCTGAAGCAGAAGCTGCAGAAGCATCTGAAGCATAGCTTAAGATTTTGTATGAAGAGTTTAAAGCATTGTTTCAGAAGACTCTGAATGTACTTTACGCTGCAAGTATAGAGGCTCTGATAAACAAGTATGCTCTGATCAGATCACTCACGCTAAAGCACTATTGCTGCAACTATGATATCATTGAATCTGATCTGAAGAACAAAAAGCACATTAGAGGATCTGATGTTGTTTACGTTTGAAAAGATGTCAGCACGCGAATAGACTTGGTACTATTCTCAACGTCCTCTCCAACGGAACTATTCCTTATTTGTGATAGACACAAGGATTCAGGCAAAAGGCATTTCTCTGAACATTCTACTTCTAAGAAAGGAAAATTCATGTGAAGATAAAAGGCTACAGCTACTCTACTTGCACAGTCTTCAAGCATTGGACTTTCAGCACTATAAAAGGACGTCTTCAACATCTCTTCAAGGTTAACGAACCATTGAAAAACTCATTGAAATTATTCAATAACTCTCATACAACCTTTCTTATTCAAAGCTGAATAGTTTTTATTCGTTCTTAAACTAAGTGTAAAAATCACAGTTCTGATATAGCTTTTTAGAAGATACTTAAACACTTGTTAGTTTACATTTATTTGTAAAAGGTTCCTTAAGAAGACCAAGTTGTGGTCAGGATTTTTTGAGAAGACTAAGACAGTTGTTCTTAGTGGTTGACACTGTAATCTGTTTGACTATACTGGATTAAGTCCTTGTGGAGAAAGGCAAATCACCTTGATAGGGTGGACTGGATTAGTTGAGTTCAACGAACCAGGATAAAAATATTGTGTTGTTTTTATTACCATAAGCTTTTTAAAACCCTTATTCAACCCCCCTTCTAAGTGTTCTTCTCACCTTCAGTTGGCATCAGAGCTCCGGTTCTGTTAGTGCTCTCACTTCACCGTGAACAGAAAAGATCCAGTTGAGAAAACTCTTGATATATTTTGGTTGATACATTATGGCTGAAGCTTCAACATCCAACAACAACAGATATGAGGACAGAGATAGAATCAACACTAAACCCCCTATGTTTGATGGGGAGAAGTTTGACTACTGGAAAGACAGAATTGAAAGCTTCTTTCTAGGATATGATGCTGACCTTTGGGATTTAGTCATTGATGGCTATGTTCACCCCACTGACGGGGATGGCAAAAAGATAGACAGAAGATCTATGACTGAAGCTCAGAAGAAAGAATTCAGGAATCATCATAAAGCAAGAACCATACTAATAAATGCTATATCTCATATTGAGTATGAGAAAATTACTAACAGAGAAACAACATTTGGTATGTTTGAATCTTTGAAGATGACCCATGAAGGGAATTCTCAAGTCAAGGAGACCAAGGCTCTGGCGCTGATCCAGAAATATGAAGCTTTCAAAATAGAGGAATATGAATCTGTAGAAGTTATGTTCTCTAGATTCCAGATTCTCACAACTGGCTTGAAAGTTCTGGACAAGGGTTACTCCACTGCTGATCATGTTAAGAAGATCATCAGAAGTTTGCCAACCAGATGGAGACCAATGGTCACTACTCTAAAGCTTGCTAATGATCTAAACAAGATCATGCTGGAGGAACTTATCAGCTCTCTGAGGAGTCATGAGATTGAGCTAGAAGAAGACGAACCCTAAAAGAAAGGTAAGTCAGTTGCTTTAAAGTCTAACAAATCTGCCAAAGCCTTGCAGGTTTTAGAAGAAAGTTCTGAAGAATCTTCTTTTGAAGAAGAAGATGAATTATCCCTGCTGTCCAGAAGGATCAACAAACTCTGGAAGCATAAGCAGAAGAAATTCAGAAACTTCAGGAAACCAAATCAACGTAAAGAGTCTTCTGGACATAGAAGATCTGGAAAGAAAGAGGTTGTCTACTATGAATGCAAGGAACCTGGGCACTACAAAAATGAATGCCCAAAGCTTCAGAAGGAGAAGCCAAGAAGGAAGTCTGATCATAAAAAGAAAGTTCTGATGGCAACCTGGGATGATTCAGATGCATCTGAATCTTCATCAGACTCAGATGAAGAATGTGCAAACATGGCACTCATGGCTGATGTAGAAGACCATGTGTCGCTACTGCGAAAATCGGTGCCGGCTGACAGAAGAGTCGCCACCGTGCGTTATTTATCCC